GAGGTCCAACTTACCGTTCTGGAGTTAGATAAGTATAGTCCGCGGCGCGAAGTGCCGCACACACCTTCAATTTACATGCGGAACAACTTACTTCCAGCGGCCACGGGAAGCAAGTTCGACTACAATTTTTCCCTTTTTACGTCTAAAAATTTCCTTCTCTGTCTATCCTACTTCTCCACCCTCGAAAACTCTATAACGACCGTTTTTGCAGGACAACATGCAGGAAGTAGGAATAAGTGAGTGTGCCTACATAAAATACTTTTGCCCCCGCTTCTAAGGCCTATTTTTCTATATTTGATCGCTTGGGGATAAATCATGCGCCTTACAGAATAATTTATAAGGTTTTCTCAAATTCGCACTGATGCCCACTGGTAGATAACGACACCTTTTAAAACGCAAGCTAAAAGTAGACAGACTTTTAAGCTTAACTCCTACGATTGCTGTTGTTACAGCAATGGAGACTGGCAGGCGTTTGCTGAGGCCCTTAATAATATTGTCGAAGCAGTCATAGTAAGTGGATTTAATAGAAATACACAAAAATCTCACCGATTTTATGCATGAGCGGCCGACGACATATGCTTTGCTCAGGGAATATTGTTTAACTTTGCGAAAATTCAAATTGAAAAGTTCGGAAGATAAATCGGCGAACATTTGTTTGTTTTCGATATATTCTCGACAGGCGTTTACATTTATATGGTAATTTACTAAATAAACGATGCGGGTTGGTAGAAATAGTAGTGCGGTTGTCAAGGGAAGTGGGGGAGGGGGTATTTTTTTAGTTAACGAATTAATCATTGAGTGTTTAAGTTATCTTACATTTAGGTTGGAGTTATACCAATACAGACCGAACGCTTATATGACCCGCCTGCTTATTAGTTAATATTAGCGTAGCCAAAAGTGCCCCCCACTTTGTATATGAACTGACTGATAATATTAGGCGATGTTGACATATTCACATAGAATATCAAAGAGTACTTTTATTCTTTCTGCTTTGAATCTTCACTGGAAAACTGATGCTTTTCGACTCTACTTAACCGGCAACAAATGCTTATACAACCCTCCTAACAAACAAAATGGATGGTGGAATACAGTAACAATAGCAGCGGAAGCCAGGCAGTGTAAAGAAAGGAAAAGGGCGGTAGCGCGTTGGCAGTGAAAATAAATGTATGTGCCCACTGTCCCCGTTATAATCAACAGTTTTTCTGTAGCACTAGGTTATACCAAAGCAAACGCCTACCAATCCAGGCCCATCTACATGCCAACCTAGCTCTGACCCTACCACTAACTCTATCTATGTTGTTCTTTAGAATTAGCAGCCGTTGCTGTTTTTTTAGAATCGCACAGCCATTGGTTGCCGATCGTTTTTCATTAAATAAACAGCCTTGAAATCCTCAAATACTGCGTCTTTATTCTCAGAAAGCAAGTCAACTGTTAAGTTAATGAGCAGTTGGAATATTTTAAAGTCATAAGGCAGGCGGTAGCCTTCTGCAGATATTACATTTACGCTCTTCGAAGAGTTTTCAATGGGGAGAAATAACTGGTACATATGTTGCCCTTCTGATCTAATGGAACATGCAACTATGGGGTTAGTTGAGTAAAAGTACACTTGGACGACTGCGAGCCGTCTAGACTGGTGACCGGAACATCCGTTTTTCATGTTACGTTCAGTCTAGAGGGGTGAAAGCCGCTCCCATTGAGCAGGTAATATTACGGGGACAGTCCAAAAAGGTCATAGGCGGAAGCCAGAATGTCTATCTCAGTGCTCAATTAATTGCGCGTCCGAATCTACTTCCTGGACGCGGTCGGTAAATGGGTTTCTGTTAACGAAAAAAAGCCAGACTCGACTATTACAGCAATTTGCGTCATTGTACGTAGAAGACATGTGCCTAGATTTCATGATGATTTTCTATCTTGCAACAAATTTCCTATCAAAGAGAACCTTATAGGAAACAAATAGAAAGAAAAACTTTGGCAATTTAATCCCGCCTAAATGTCCTCCTACGCCATGTATGCGCTGTCGCTGCGATATGCGACAATTCATGTCTGAATTTTCGCTGCAAATTTGGGTAGGGCAAAAAATACCGGGGGGATGTTTCTGAACAGAACTCCCACGACGGAAACGGGCTTGTAATTTTACTTTGAGGACGTTTTGGACAGGTCCAAAACTGTTCAAACTGGCCAACGACGATCAAATGATTACGAAATTTACTTCTTATTGCTTCGAGTACTCTGGGGGTATTGCAGTTAACCTGCTAGGCTGATGGGCAATGTCAGTGAACAGTTTCGAATTGAGCACCCGTTCCAAATTCTTTAGCAAAAGAAGATGAATTAGTCAACGGCGGTTGACGCGGGCCAGAAAAACGATCTCTGCATACTTGTTTTTTCAGCAATGAACATAAAACGTGGACTGTGTAGTTTTGTTACACAAGCAGCAAACGTCAATCGTTTGTGTAAAACTATCTAAGTGGAATGTGGGCTACTTACTGCTTGTAACTTATCAAGGAATACATAGATCTAGTCAAATCCTACTGCCGACGTTTTAGCATAAAGTACTTGGCTTATTTCGCAAAATGTTAGCCGATATTTTAAAATGTGGTTGCGGTAAGAAAGGGTTGATTAGGTAGGTGTGCTACTGAGTATCTCGCAACCTAATCCCAAGACATCTAACCATATCCGGAATGTCGCTTTTAAACGACTTTCTTTTCGTGTGCCTGCAAAGACCGTTTTCGTAAAGAAACTTATAACTCTGTAACATGCACTTTTAATGATTATTTTAGGCCCTTATAAGTTATTAGTATATTACATAGCTAGCACACATAATATCCTTTCTTCTATTCCTTTGGTGGCACAAAAAGTCTTCTGCAAACGTGATGCTTGAAGCAAGGATCGCCTTCTCTTTAGTTAGTTTGCAATTATGAAAATTTACGAAATCTAGAAGACCAACTGGCGAACGTTCGTTTGCTTTCGATACGTTCACGTTGGGCCAGTACGTTTATATGGAAACGGGGTAAAAGTGCGGTCAATAATGATAGTCTGTTCGTATAAGTGAGTCACACGAATAAGAGGAGGTGATAAGAGGCGGCAGGCTAAACGGTCGTGACGATTTCGTGGAGCACCTGAAAAGCACGCGTATGCTTGCTAACCGGTCTTTTAAATTTTATAAAATCGTGCAATATCCATTTTTAGCATTGTATCGACCCGCTTATTTAGCTTTTTATAAGATATCTTATGTGGTCTATATCCACAGCAAAATCTTCGGAGCCCTATATAATATTTACGGAAAATATGGAACATTAAGTTTTAAAACATCAAGCGAAATTTAAGCTGTAGGTATGCTTCCATAGTATCTAAGAACTGAAATGTTTTCTAGGGTGAAACTGTATCCTTAGTAAAAGTATATAACTTGTAGATGGCGAAGTTGCTGCTAAATGATAAAAGGATAATTTGGTCCGTTTTTTCAAAGTATTTTTACCTTTACCATATATGTCTAATATATTATGTTTAATATATTAATATTTATGAGGTCATGGAAAATAAGTGGAAAAACCTAGGGCCTCATCTGCAGTCTTTCGCTATGAAGTAAAGTTTCTACATGTGCTAGAAAAGTGAGTCATAACAAAGCTGACATTCTGGCCTGACTGAAATTTCTACCGATGGTGCTATACGCTATTCAGTATGACCACTCTGCCCAAGAAATATTCTCTAATCAAACCACATTTAATAAGATCAAATAAAATGTGCATGAAATTGGTTTGAACGTAAACACGAACAATCTCCGTACACAAATATACATATTTAGAAATTTCTCCAAATATTTCCCTTAAAAATCCTATGTTCATTGGACTCGAACGCTTAACTGAAACACATTTTGGGAATTTTTGAAATATCTTGATAAAGCAGTCGACAAGTTAATTTTTAAGAGGGAGCGTGGAGTACAAGAAAACCTTAATTGTAGATCGAAAGTACTCTACTCTACTTTCTCTAATAAATTTCGCGTTCTCCATGGGAACCGAAACATTATTAATTACAATAAAGAAAGGTTCAGTCAACTACAACTAAGGATTTCGATAAAACTACAGAATATGCGCTAGTTTAGCATGGTTGTAACGCCAGCCACAGTTCAAATGTAAATTGCCCGGAAAGATGCAAAAAGCAAAGGGGACTGCCAATAGAGGAGAATATACAAGTTCCAGGCAGCAAAGGGGACTTTATGACGTACGAGAAATGAACAGACGATGTAGAAGCTGATAAAGAATGGGTATGCAAATGCGGACCCACAGACGCGTTTTATTTCTTCTCCTTCTGTTTGGGCCTCATCGGATTGAGTGTCACAGTAAGCCGTTTCTGTTGATAAAAGGGGAGAATTCAGCTGTTAAGCAAACGTTTGATTTCAAGAGAATATTACTCCCGGGGGTTTAAAAGCTTAGTATTATCGAGCAAATCATAAATGAGCTCATAATGCCATCTTCTAGATACAGCTGTTAATTACTCAACAGAGTGTTAGCTATCACTCTGAATTACTTA